TTAACTGACTGGAATTAAGACGGAGCCATGTGTGATGAACAGCGGAGTGTCTTTGGCCATGAGAGAAGTAAAAGTGTTTTGTCGGTCTATTAAGTAGTGAAGAAGTGAAATGTTATAAAACCGTAAATACAAAACAAACGCCAGCATGTAAAGATGAAAATGACGGATTCCCACGAGATATTGCTGTGTCAGTAAGGATAGTTAAATATTTTCTGCCAGCAAAGAGTACACACAATTTATAGTATATGCTCTTTTGTCCCAGAATATCACAAACAAGAAAAATTCGTTTGGTTATACCAAGTGATGAAAAATACATCCAGCTAGACAAACTATAAGTGTTATGCGATTTCTGTTCCAGAATTCTTTTGCAAACAACAACAAAAGAAAGCAATCTTGATTTTGTTTTTAAAGATATCCCATTCAATTCCTGGGCGGCAAACCGGTTACAGTCAATTTTCTGGCGATTTTATGGGCTGTACTCTAAAACATTTACGTTGTTTTTGGGCTATTTGAAACGCCTCAAGAAATGATGTCGAAAATATCAGACAGATTTCCTCATTCAGAATATGTGAAATTTCACTGGATACCTTTAAAGCAAATTTACAGAATTCTTATATATTCAATCCATACAACAATGACAAAATCTATTGAAAATATGGATACATACAGTACAATGATGATAACACCTAACTCGTACAATATTTTAGTAATTAGCAAAGAAAGTATCACATATCAAAATGCACTGCGAAAAATGAACTACACACATTCTTAACAAAGAATCTTAAAAACTAAACTACAATTGAATTTCCGATGCAAACTCATTTATGAAGATTTTTGCTTCACGGAATTAAATCTGCAGAATTTTGACACAAAATTTAACAAAAGAATCTTTGAAAACTAACTCCAATTGAATTTCCGATGCAAACGGCCCAACTACGCTTGTGAAGATTTTTCTTCGCAGAATTAGATCTGCAGTAATTTTGACTACAATTAAAAATACACGACAAACTTTCCGTGAAAATATGCACTGTGCCAAAAATGAACAAAGGAATCTTCTAAAACTAACTCCAATTGAATTTCCGATGCAAACGGCCTCAAACTCGCTTGTGAAGATTTTTGCTTCGCGGAATTATATATACAGAATTTTTCCGCATTTAAAGAAAAAAGACAAACTTACCGTAAAAATACTCACATGTCCTTTGGTCGTTGCGACTTGTGTATAGTGTACAGAGGGCCTTTCCTGTAGTTATAACTATTACATTACCAACAAGTTCAACTGGATGGAGACAGAGCGTTATTTTTCCCCCATTCTTCGGGCAGCAAGTTGCAGTATGCTTGGCGGAAAGTTGGCAGCCGAACTACCCACCAGGCAAGGGCTGATGTGCTTTCACCATATTTGGTGGAAAAGTTCATTTTCAAAGACCGATGTAGCTAGTTAAACAAACTCAGCTGGATAGTGTTACCATGGACTGACAGTTGGCGATTTGGGTGTTTTTGTCCATGAATGCACGTTTTTCACAGAAGTCGTAGATTAGGTTTATTTTAACCGTCTTTTGACAATGGAAAGCAAGAGAAGAATCCAGAGAACATGGATGTGGCTTTGCCGGCAGGAACACTAAGTTGCACGTAATAAAGCCACCATCAGGTGGCACAGAGAGAATTCGTAGGTCGGTCGTTCGTCGGTTGTCGGTCGGTTCGATCATGGTTGGTGTTCGGCTGTAAGTTTGCAGAACAGCGGCCAACCATTCGGGAATAAGCCAGCAGTGTTCCTGCAATCCTGGCGTCTTCGGGGGTCAAATCTGACTCGAATTTAACTCAAATTCGTTTCGATTCGTATATGTAAAGCTAGGCCTAAATCTAGTCTAAAATCTAGTCTAAAATTTTAATTTTGAGGTAAATTTGAGACAAATCTGACAACCAGCTCACCTTGTTCTCAACCTATACCCCTAACCATGGTTGAGGGGAGTTCGGCTAGCGTTCTGTGGGTCATTTGGCTATGTGTGACAGGAACTTCAGGCGGCAAGTAAAGGTCATATCTTTTCTTAGGCAGAGCTGGAACATTGACCTGTGTTTCTCATACCGTAGGGAGTTCTGGTTTAGTCTGGATGGAGCTTTCTTGGTTGATGGATCTAGTAGGAATAGTAGTAGTATGGATGGATCTAGTAGGAATAACGTGTTAGCTTTTGTTACCATCTGGAGGTTTTAAAATCCTATGGTATATATAGTTTAAAGGATACATATAACTCTGTACTCTCTCATGACCCTAATGAAAAAGCAGCCTGCAGGTCAATTTGAGTGTTTCTTGTAAGACTGAGGACTAGGGACTGAGACCGGCGTAGTGTTGAAAGGATTGGTTTTTACAAGAAACACTCAAATTGACCTGCAGGCTGCTTTTTCCTTAGGGTCATGAGAGAAATATGATCAACTGATGTAATCCATGCAAATGACGCTCTTATTTGCGAAATCAATTGTTAAAATTGTATAATTCGTCAACCGGAAGGGTTAACATCATTTGGCGAAGAATGAGATCGTGGAACTCTTGTTTTCGCTAATCCAAGAACGTAGATTTGCACGGTTCTGGATACGTGTGGGCTATCCAAAATTCTACCGTGCCTGAGCAAAGTTATAGATAAAGCACGATACAGGGTAGGATGGTATCCTAACCTCGTACCCAGTCTATCGTGGTTGGGGCAGGCTGTCTTCGGGGCTCTAATAGTTTCCCCCGCCCAGTAAAACAGGCCGCCCGGTAGGACCTTTGCTGATAGAGTTTGGCACGCCGGGAGTTGATTTGCCCGACCATGAATAAGACCTACCGGGGGACCTAGCTCAGGCGGGCGGGGAAGAGCTTCAGCAGCCCCGAGGAAAACCCGCCCCAGCCACGATAGACCACGTTGATCGAGTTCAATGCCGATGAATTATTTCCAGATGTTTGACAAGACGGCTGTGTACTGCGCAGTTTGGTTTCCACGTGTTGATTGATCGAGTAGAAGTTCTGAGCTAGAGGACCCTGTAAGCAAGCACCACTTGTCCCAACAATGTTTGGTTAAAGTGCTCTTACTTGGATTATTGTCTCTGGCAGCTAAGATGACAGGGGCATCCATCACAGGATAATCGTCCCTCCAGACATCAGCTAGCTTCGTCAACCCAGCGTGGAGTGTTATACTAGTAAGATTTATTCTATAGTACACCTCCTTTTTGTAGTATGTCCAACAGTTGTTACCATGCATATTGTACCATGCACAACTGTCGTGCAATAAAATTATTATTTTTTTACTATCAAAACCTATGCATATCTAGTTCTATGGAGTGAATGGTAAAGCTCGGTTCTGGATAGTCTCCGCGTCTCTAAGAACTTAGATTTGCCCCCACCCCCAGGCATGGTTCTGGATACTCGACTGGAAAATCCCAAACCGTGTCTGAACATGGTTTTGGATAGATCATGGTTTTGGATAGATTCTCGGTGAATTTTACAAGTGTGCATGCGACAAACCACAGAAAAAATACATCGCTGGTAAATGTTTATGTAAATGTTGATAGGACTCCAATCATGTTACCTGATTTGAGTACAAAATGTTATAGAATTTCATGAATCAACGTAGGCTCAAACAAAGAAATGCATTACATATCATCCTTACATATATACAGACAGGACCTTACACACAGTAATGAAGATGAGTTCATTATTGTGACAGATCGCTGGGTCGGCGTGACACGGATCCCATGTATATCTGCCTAACTCCGTGACTTTTTTTATTCACAAATCTGTCCTTTTTCCGGAAGTAATGTGTCCCGTATCCATACTTGCTGCCATATACTTCACAATGTATCCACCGCAAGTTTACTGGAGACGTTAAAGTTATTTCATATTTACTTATTGAAAATGTCCCTTTTCTTTTTTTATTCCAGAGCGACCATTTTATAAGAGAGCCAAAGACTCAAGAGGCAACAGGTAAATGTGCAGTATATCTTAAGTAAGGTAGATGTAATAACTTTAACATATATATAATAACAATTTTATGTTTCTACATTCTGTTTGATGAATGTACAATGGTCCGTAAAATATTCGGAAATGACGTTAGATGGAGATCTGGAAGTTAGTAGTTTACTATACTTTTAGTAGTTTACTATTGCAATAGTAGTTTACTATTGCAAGATATATGCAAATAATGTTAATTATTGTTTAATTATACATACGTAGGGTTTAGGTATCAATATTTTTTATTAAGATTCGTCTACATCAACTCCGCTAAAGGCAAGAAAGACGGAACATATAAGGAAAAACTGTCACTTTATTGTCTGCATTTGTAGCTCAACAATACAACGTACATTTCATTGTAGCTTGTTCTGCAATATGAACAGTTGACACATGGCGGCGCTCGTACTATGCCACCCTGATTCTTACATGGCGACCAAGCGCTGTACACAAACTTTTATTGTACACGCAAACATGGTCAGAGGGGATTCAAATCATAATTGATATGACGTCACTGGCACCCTCTAAATCAGGCAACATTTGCGGGGTTGACTGTTGATGATGACGTCACCATGGCCACGAGAATCCCTTTTCTAATCCTGTAAAACACACAACGTGATTGATCATTTAAATGTACTCATTACCAGAAGATCTAGGAAATCTATTCATACTTTTCCATTAACTTGGCGAACGGTACTAAAGGCGGCAGCGTAGTGAAGAGAAACAAGAATTTTTTTCTAAAAAAAACACTGGCTGGGGCCAAGATGGGAATAAGCTGGTTGGGTGGCGTGTGATGAGATGTGTGGCTAAAATAATTGGTCACCTTGGTGGCTAGACTACTGCTAATAATATGCACGAATGTGTCATAAGATCTTTTTAAGGGAGAAGGGATTTTTTGTAGCAGTAAACTTCTTGTTCCTTGCCAGTTTTTTAAATTCCCTTCTGATATCTGCTTGGTTCCCATTCATATGGTAATGTATCCGGCACACGTTCACCCAAAGTGATAAAAAAATTCTCAACCCATCTATTAGTTCACCTGAAGATGTTGATCGTCCTCCTCTGCGATGGTGGACGGTGTGGGTAACCACTGCCGCTGGTAGATCGGAGTCGCCTCCCACGGCCACAGGGTCACCTGGTCTTCACTGGTCCATTCAACGTCGTCTGAAAACGGTATGTCATCAGATCACCATCCGTGCATAATTTCATCAGGTTAGTAACCTTTATATATTTTCCCAATGAAAACAATTTGTTTTTGCTCTGTTTCCTCTTCTTCTACTACTCCAAAGCAAAAAGGTCAGTGACCTGAACCAGACTGTCTGTTACCATGGAAACCAGTGTAATGTTACATATTGTTGCAATTTTATAGCAGGAGGGATTTAGACCATACATATGTCTGACCATATATATATGAATGTGTTTGAGTAAAAATTAACAGAGCAGACCTTATGCGGAAGTAAACATTATGCATTTGCTTTGCAAATGTTACCTTTCTAGTGTTTCATTAATTCTGTTTCGTTTTTTTTTTAACTTACTCTTTTATTATATTGAAAGAAGTATGTTTACCTGTGTTTACGATATCCTTGGGCCACAGGTAGATCGGTTCCTCGTAGATAACATTTTCTGTTGACGAAAAGAATATAAAACCAATCAGGCCATTTGATTAAGAACCACCATGCCAAGTTAAAATGACATACCTTGGCGACATACAAGACTCTGTTAGTCGTGTTTTTCAATAGGCAAAAAGGACATGTCAGATGTAAAGCGTATTGCATAATACCGTTGACCGCGCCCGGGTTGGTGTAGACATGTGCCCTAAAGGACAAAAAAGAGACATAAATGTTAGAATATGTAAGATATATCTGCTACATCTTTTACAAGGCCTACATGGCCTTTTTATAAGGCGTAGAAAGCTGCAGGCCTTTTTAAGTATTCGTAATCCAAAAACTAGGCAGTCACACAAAACTTACGTACACAGTAATAAGTAATAAGTCGTTTTCATTCTACGTAAAGCGTAGGCCTTTCTGCAACGTAAAACGTAATCCATAAAATGTTGCGTAATTTGTACTCCCGTAGCACTCTCAATGATGCTCAATGTTTCCGTGCATCAAACAAAACCACAAAGTTACCATGCCTGTGGTACCTTTTTACCATCGTCCTCCGCCAGCACAGCCAACCCACCATAGCGGCAGCCAGTAGTAGTGTCGCCCCGCCGGCCGCACCTCCTATCGCGATGTACATGTGAACCGGACTCTCCTCCTCAACCCTTCTCCCTACTGTCCCGACCGGTGCTGGGAATGTTATCACCTCACAGCCTTTCTTTGTTTGAAGGTCTGGTAGTTTGATTGCGGTTGTAGTTTGTGTAGTTGTCGTCGTTTCTGTATTTGTCATTGTCATTGAGGCTATTTTGTCTGTATTTGTCATTGTCCTTGTCCTTGTCATTGAGGCTATATTTTCTGTATTTGTCATTGTCATTGAGGCTATATTTTCTGTATTTGTCATTGTCCTTGAGGCTACTCTTTCTGAAGTTGTGAACTCAGTCGTAGATTTTACGCGTGTTTGTTTACTAAATTCCGCGGTATGTTTGCTAGAAGAGCGTGGATAGGTGTGTGAAGGTGGTGGTGGGTTTGTAAGAAAGTCGGTTTCCGTTTCCACGACTATCGTGGCGGTGTCGTCCTCAGGTCTTGTTGTTGTCGTCTTGTCTGTCCTTGTGCTAGGTGAAGCGCTGGGTTTGACTGGTAGTAGAGTTGGTGTGGGTATGTCCGTGCTAGGTAAACTGTGCGAAGAATTTTGCTGGTGTTGTCGGTATGTTCGTGCAACAGTCGTGAGTTGTGAACGTGCTTTAGTCGTGTCTGGTATAAACTGTGTGATGGTCAGATTTTCACTCGAATTTAAGGCTGAATTTGTCGCACTATTAGGTGTGTTGGAGGTTATCGTTAGCCTACTTTCTGTGTGTGGACTAGCTGACGTGGTCTTTAGTACTGTGTTAGTGCCGTCTACCTGTCCGAATGTAGGGTTAATATTAGAAGTAGTGGAAGTGCCGTCTATCTGTCCGGATGTAGGGTTAATATCAGAAGTAGTGGAAGTGCCGTCTACCTGTCCGAAAGTGGGGTTAATAGTAGAAGTAGTGGAAGTGCCGTCTACCTGTCCGAATGTAGGGTTAATATTAGAAATAGTGGAAGTGCCGTCTACCTGTCCTAATGTAGGGTTATTATTAGAAGTAGTGGAAGTTTCGTCTGACTGTCCGAATGTAGGGTTAATTTTAGAAGTAGTGGAAGTGCCGTCTAACTGTCCGAATGTAGGGCTAATTTTAGAAGTAGTGGAAGTGCCGTCTACCTGTAGCTGTCCAAATGTAGTGATAATATCAGTGACTGTATGTCTCGTCGTACGTAATGTTGTTAAGTGCGGCCTTTCAGTAACTGTTGCTGTAGAGGAGGCGTGTACGGGTGTAGACTTTGATGCTGTAATGGCAGTGTGGTTTGCTCTGGTAAGTAGATCTATATAAGACGTGTAAGTACTTGTTGTTGTCACAGTGGATGTGTACTGAGTTGCCATAGGCTGTGGTGTAGGTGATGTGTGACTCACCGAAGATGTCCTTGTTTTGGAATAATCTGTAACATTATCTTCTGTTGATGACGAAATCATGCTCACTCTCGATGTTGTTGGAGTTTGAATGTTTTGTGCAGTGTTTGAGTTGGTCACAGTTGAGGATGGTTCGAAAGTGGAAAATGAAGAAATGGTGGGTTTGGCAGTTGTTAAAGCGTCTGCCTGATTGTTGTTCATAGCTGTAGTGTTGAAAAGGTGGTCAGAATGATGGGTTTTGTTTTGGTGGATTGCAGATGTATTGGTGATGGTATCTGCTGCTGCTGATGAGGCTGTAAGTGCAGATGGTTGGACGGATGTGTGGGTATCTGTTGGTGCAGTTGTTAATGGCATAGACACATAATCAGCCGCCACGGCTGTTGATGGAGACAATGTGTTCTGTCTCGTCATTCCTGAAGATACTGCTGCAGATTCACTACCATCAGACATTGATGATGATGATGATGATGTTGATGGTTGTACTGTTTTCATTACTGTTGTTGTATAGCCGCGCACTATTGTTGATGTTAAGGACGGTATTGGCGTGTTAGTCTGGCCATCAGCTATGTCTGTACCTGCCGGCAATACTGTGTTCGCCCCAGATATTGTGGTTGATAGTATTCTGTCCGTATGGCGAATTCCAGTGGATGTGGATGTGTGATTATAACCTACTGGTGTAGGTGCAGTGTTTAACGATGTGACATTGTCACGAGGCCTATATAATGTAGTCACTTGTGATGTGTAAGTCTCATTAACGTCATTACGTGTGGTCACTGGAAACGAGGTGGGATAGTTTTTTGCATTCTTCGTGAAAACTGTTTTTGACAATGATGCGGTGCTGTGAGTTGTCGTCATTGGTGAGTTTGTTGTGAGACTTGTTCCATTGTTTGTTCCCATTGGTAGTGACGTCCTATGATATAATGTTGAGGCAACTACTGTTTCCAATGTGTTGTAGCCGGTAGTTATATTTCCTGTGGTTGTGCGTGTTGTAGAAGAATGCTTCGTTGTAGGAGAATATTTGGTCACAAACGCTGTTGTTGTCAACATGTTAGATGTGGTTCTGACTGTAGTGTTTGCAGTAGGAGTTGTGATGTTACTAGCGGGTGATGTTACAAGTTTCCTCAGTGGCGTGACTGTAGTTCCGTCTGGTGTTTGCGATACTGTATCGTTGTCATTAAGTCTGTCAGTTTCCGTCGCTAATGCTACTGAAGAAGTGGGGGTAATTGTAAACGTTGTGTCCATGGGCGATGTAGTGTTATATGTGGTTGCAGTAGGTTTGACTGTTGTTCTGCGTCTTTCTATAGTTGTCTGAAATGCTGTTTTCGTTGTATACGGCATGGACGTTGCTGGAGTGGCTGTATGCAATGTGGCACCATCACTAAATGTGCTTAACATGGGAGTGTGGCTGATAGCTGTGGCAGTGGCTGTAGGTAAAGTGGCATCAGTTGAACCAAAAGTGGTAGATTTGTGATGGACTATACGAAGCGCTGTTGTGTTCGAAGTTTCGGGTCTACTGGTTGTGTTGAAGAGAGAGGTGTAGTTAGTTAAAGAAGGGATGGTTGTATGTAATATAGCAGTGTTACTGCTAGAGTTAAAGGCAGACGTATTGACGGTAGTTTTAGACGTCAAATTGTAGTTGACAGTAGAAGAAACGGGTGGATGTGATGCAGCCATGTCACTTGTTGTGTTTAATATGGACACATAATCGGTTGTATATGGACCACCTGTAGGTAATGTAGCGTTGTCATTAGTTGTGTTAACGTTGGTTGCAGATGCGTCCTTAAAATTAGAGTCAGGTGTTGTCGTTTGTATTCTAGCTGTACTGCTGGTTTTGTTGTATGCAGAAGTGGGGTTGACGATAGTGTGAATGATTGTGTACAGTCTGGAACTGTCACTGGTCAGGTTGAATGCAGAGAGATAACTGTCTGTTGTAAGAGTTAAGTGCGATGTGGCAACGTTACTTGTTGTATTTGATGTAGATGTGTAAGTGTCTGTAACAGTCGTTTTGTTGGCTCTAGAAGTGGTAACGTCAGTAGGAGAAGTAGATGTATTTGACGTATTGCTACCAGTTGTATTGGATACAAAGGTATTTGAGACTGTAGGAGTGGTGTATACATATATGTTGTTATTGGTTGTGTTGAATTCGGTTGTATTACTAGTTGTATTGAGAGTGTAATTGACCATGGGTGTAACTGTATGGGATACAGGTTTGCTGATGGTTGTGTTGAATATAGAGGTGTAACTGTCACGAGGAGTTGTTGTATGTATTGTAGCGTTGTTACTGGTTGCATCAACAATGGAAGTATGAACGACAGCGAGAAGAGTGGATGCACGTGGTGTGACGTGCTTACTACTGTGCCTGTCGACAGTTGATGTAGCTGTATGTAATGTGGCGTTGTCACTGGTTGTGGTGAATTTTGAAGTGAAATTCGGTGTAGGAAGTGTGGTTGTATCTAATGTTGGTTCGATACTACTGGATTTGGAAGTATGGCTGGGAGGACTATTTGTGTAAGACGTGGCATTGTGACCAATTGTGTTGATTGTAGAGCTGTAATAGGAAGTATTGGCAGTGGTTGTATATAAAGTTTCGTTGTTACTGGATATGTTTAACATAGAAGTATCATTAGGTGTAAAGGGAACCGTTGTATTGGATCTACGAGTGTGTTTACTAAAAGAAGGTGTAGGTGTATACGCTGTGTTACTGTCACTGGTGACGTTACCATCTGCTGTTATTAAAGTGTAGTCTGTTGTAAAGAATGCATCAGTTGTTGGTTTGCTACTTTTACTTGCTGTACTGAATGTTGTCAATGGTGATGCTAGCGTCTGGTTGATTGCTGAATGCAAGACTGTTGTATTATTATTGTCCACATTGAATGTAGAAGGTTGTGTTGTAATGGTTTTGGTGCTGTTCCTGGTTGTATCGTATATGTACGTGCTTAGTGTGTTGGTGGGCGTAACCGTATGTGTAGCCGCTGTATGTGATGCGTTGCTGCTGCCCAAAGCATTGAATGTGGTCTCGTATGTAGATGGCGTAACTGTTTGTGATGTTATATTGTAACTGTTCATGTTAAGTGTAGGCACTGGTGATATGGAAGTATAATTTTCTGTCTGCAATGAAACCTTGCTATTGGTTGTATTTGATGTTGTCACTGGTGCTATAGATGTGTAAGTATAAGAAGCGACACTCACGTTGGTTGTAGCTGATGTGGTGTTGCTATAATTACCCGTTGTAGAGAGCGTTGTCGTTGTTGTAAAGGACGTGTGATTATGTGCTGAGAAATTTCGTGACGTGGCGCTACTACTGGTTGTATTTAATACAGCTGATGTGAATGTGTGATTCCAATATGTAGATGGTTGTAGTGTTACATCGACATTTGTGCCGTTGTACATTGTTGCATTTTCTCCCATGACTGGGGCTGTTGTGGACATCTCGGTAAGATTATTTGATGTACTTGGGGCTGTAGCTGTTGTGGTATTGTCAATGATTGCTATAGATTCGGTCCTTGTCGATGTAAAGTCTTTTAACGTCACATTGCCACTGGTCCTGTTGGATATAAACATAGATGCAGTGCCAGGTTGACTGGCAGTAGGAGGTGTACCAGTTTGACTGGTCACTCGATAAATTGTCATAGACGGTGAAGTATAGGAGGCTATGGGCGAGGCAGGGGTAGTATGGGTTGGTTTGGTTATAGCTGTGGAGTTGTCAACAGAAGACATTAGCGATGTCGTGGTGATGTTATCTGCGACTGTTGCTGATGAAGTGTCCTCGGTGTTCGTTGAAAGAGCGTATGTCGTCTTTGCGATGTAAGGAACTGTATTGTCTGATGTGTATGTGCCATTGTCTGTCAATGTCATGAATGTAGTAATGATTTCCGTAGAATTGATCATAGCAGGTCTGTGTGTACTCTCGGTTCCAACGGTCGTAACTCTGTTGTCATTCCTGTCTACTGTTGTGATGCTTGTTCTGTTACTGGTTTGTTGTGGGGTTGTGTTGCTTGCTCTGGCAGTGGTTTGTTGTAGGGTTGCATTTCCTGTTCTGTCAGTGGTTTGTTCTAGGGTTGTGTCGCTTGTTCTGTCAGTGGTTTGTTGTAATGTGCTGTCAGTGGTTGGTTGTAATGTTGTATTGCTTGTTCTGTCAGTAGTTTGCTGTAGGGTTGTGTTGCTTGTTCTGTCAGTGGTTTGTTGTAGGGTTGTGTTGCTTGTTCTGTCAGTGGTTTGTTGTAGGGTTGTGTTGCTTGTTCTGTCAGTGGTTTGTTGTAGGGTTGTGTTGCTTGTTCTGTCAGTGGTTTGTTGTAGGGTTGTGTTGCTTGTTCTGTCAGTAGTTCGTAGGGTTGCGTTGCTTGTTCTGTCATTGGTTTGTTGTAGGGTTGCGTTACTTGTTCTGTCATTGGTTTGTTGTAATGTTGTGTTGCTTGTTCTGTCATTGGTTTGTTGTAGGGTCGTGTTGCTTGTTCTGTCAGTGGTTTGTTCTGGGATTGTGTTGCTTGTTCTGTCAGTAGTTTGTAGGGTTGTGTTGCTTGTTCTGTCAGTGGTTTGTTGTAGTGTCGTGTTGCTTGTTCTGTCAGTGGTTTGTTGTAGGGTTGTGTTGCTTGTTCTGTCAGGGGTTGGTTGTAATGTTGTGTTGCTTGTTCTGTCAGTGGTTTGTTGTAATGTTGTGTTGCTTGTTCTGTCAGTAGTTTGTTGTAGGGTTTTGTTACTTGTTCTGTCAGTGCTTTGTTGTAGGGTTGTGTTACTTGTTCTGTCAGTAGTTTGTTGTAGGGTTGTGTTACTTGTTCTGTCAGTGCTTTGTTGTAGGGTTGTGTTACTTGTTCTGTCAGTAGTTTGTTGTAGGGTTGTGTTACTTGTTCTGTCAGTGGTTTGTTGTAATGGTCTGTCAGTGGTTGGTTGTAGGGTTGTGTTGCTTGTTCTGTCAGTGGTTTGTTGTAATGGTCTGTCAGTGGTTGGTTGTAGGGTTGTGTTGCTTGTTCTGTCAGTGGTTTGTTGTAATGGTCTGTCAGTGGTTTGTTGTAGGATTGTGTTGCTTGTCCTGTCAGGGGTTTGTTGTAGGGTTGTGTTGCTTCTTCTGTCAGTGGTTTGTACCGTCACTGTCATAGAAGTCTCAGTGTTATAAGTAGTAATGTCAGTAGTAGGTACTGTGTTCATGGTAGGTGTCGTCACTGTTGTATGAGTCGCAGTGTCATTAGTACTACTAGTATTAACGGGACTGTAAGTAGTACTGTCGGACGTCGGCATGCTAGTTACAGTCACAGTCACAGTTGGAGTCAATGTACTATTAGTACTACTAGTATTAACTAAACTGTCAGTGGTATTGTCAGTAGTCGGTACTGCGGGCATGCTAGATCTTGTCACAGTTATAGGAGTCACAGTGTTATAAGTAGTACTAGTATTACGTCCAGTCAGCACTACATCTTTCGTTACATTGTTACTTGTCCTGGGGACGTGGCTTGTTTTTCGTGTCGCTGTTGTTGGTTGTTCGGTTGTTGAGGAGACAAAGGGTGATGTGAAAGTCGTTTGTTGGTTGTTACCAGGTGCGGTGGTGGTAGCTGAAACATATACATTTCATTACACCTCATTAACTATATATTGTTAAGTATCGTTCGCCAGTACCCGACTACTATTGATAATGGGGGTAATCTTAATTGGTCAAAGTGTTTACGAATTTAAACGTAAAAGTACTTCTCATTCTTTTTGTTAACTATCTTTTGTCAAACCAAACAATGACAATAATATCCGCCTAGACATTCAGTCTCATTAGATAAGATAAGAATCTTGAACACAGAACCGGATTTTTTTGCACGAGGGGTCTAAGAGGCCATCTACATCAGGGCATTACAACCATCCCTAAACAGAGACGGGGGGCGCAACAGACTTTTTGCAACCTATGATCTACTGCTCACGTAGTCACGTGTGTTATCTACGTGACGTCACGGAAGCGGTGGATTGCTCATTCCTTGACAAAGACTGGAGTTGTACAGTCTGAAATTTGGGTAAGTCCAATTTATTGTGCTGGAAATTACAGTTTAAACTTGTTTCACCATGACATCCGCTTCTTCCAATGGAGGTTTGCATTGATGCGTTGATTACTGACATATCTTGAGCCGTGCAAACAATGACTTACGATATCGCCCTCCTCGGACAACTCAAGACAAGGCGTCTTCACTTGGGTGGACACGACGGAGGCACAGGCAAGTCACTGATTAAACGGTTCAAGACACGCCACAACTTTTCTCTGTCAGAACCTGACTCATGATCAGTGCAGGCTTGGCTTCAGTCGCGATGTGTGACCATTGCTCCCCAGAAGTAACAAGAATTCGGAGATCCCAGACCTCCGCGAATTATCTAAATGTTGTCTGGTGGTCACTGCTCCCTCTTCGTATTCAACGCGGTGTTTACAAGTCTTTCTTTATCGTGCAAGGGAAACAACACTAGCTGCCAGCTGTGAAGGAGGTCATGTAATGAAAAACGTGTGAAAATAGCGAGTGCAACCAGGTGCAGGCGTGATTTATGACGTTCTCCCTCTGAGAGGGACTGAACATAACCATATCTATTACAACCTTACCCGATGGTCATGCAGAAACACAGATGCACACACGGACACACACAAACAAAAACCAAACATAATATCTCCATTTTTCACGGAGGTAAATAGTGTGTTTTGTTGTTGACAAGAAGTGGACCACGAGGCAAAAAAAACATCAGTTACCTTCACAAAGGGGCACGGAACAGTACTCAGCTAAGTGGTCCGGGTCCATGGTGATACACCAGGGCTGTTCAAACTGACCGTCCGGATTCCGGCAGTAGTTTTCGTCCAGTCCGGATGTTGGGAAGAGTTCCGGGGGGTACTCGTGTGGATGCGGGGACTGACTGCTCCAGGCCTGACACGTCCGTCCCGACCTGGTCACTGAGATCGTCCCGCGGTATGACATGCCTTTACCCGTCCGGCAGTCTGTGGGAAAAAACAAAAACTTGCGTATGTTCTACTCTTTTTGGCCGTGCCTCAGGGGCGGAGGTATTTTGTGTGATGCTGAACAGAGTCATAGTTGAGGGCCGTAAACAGAATTTCTTCCCCGACATATATAGCTAAGATTTTGAAGGTGGAGATGTCCATTATAAGGAGCTTTCTTAATCTTATTCTTATTACAAAGTGGTATTCTTTGTCACCAGAATCATGATTTGAAGAAAGCACATATTGAGCAACGTTAGTAACTTACCGGAGCAAGGCGGTATAGCGCAGTAGTGCCAGTTGGTGCAGTTCAGGGCAATGCCGCTAGGCTCCTCGTAGAAGCACCACGGTAGGTAGTCTCCATCCGGGTTCCTACAGTAGTTGCTGTCCAGGTCCGCCAGAGGAAATCTCAAACTGCTGAAGCCGCAGTCTTCCACATCCGCGGTATCCCAGGGGAGGCAGCTCTGCCCAGACCACGTGACGTTTATTGAACCACGGTAGGACAGGCCAGTCCCCTCCAGACAATCTGTAATGATAGACAAACAGCTGTGACATTGTGGTTGTTATTAACGTCTAGAGAACTTATTTGAAATACATGTATTGAAAAAAAACTGCACAGACTACCACATGTTTTATGCCCCAAGCCAACCATTAGATTAGATTTCGTCCTTGCTATGCGTAAAGGCCGGTTCCACAAGGCATTGACCAAAAAAAAATTCCCTAGGGAATGCATTCAAGGAATTTTTAGCATATTTTCAACTCAATCACAGTACTTTACCAACGGCTCCGCCCCTAAGGCGTCGCCAACAAAAACAGGTTTCAGTCATGAGAGACCCTACATGAGAGGCCATGTTGGACAATAACAGTAGACGACATATCCTTTTAAATTCCGACCGAATATATATCCGGCGCTGGCGTGTGAGTGTGTGTGTTCCTAGTGTTCACTTTGTGCGAACATATGCTGACTCGTGTAATTAGTGGGTTTCGCACTTTTTTTACTCAATAGATGCCTAACGTGTTTTTAGACCTCTGTGTGTTTTTTTCCAGGTTGGTGTACGAGTACGTATTTTGTAATTAGTAAAGTCTCAAAAATCCTGATAAACGTAAAGGACAAGAAACTTTTTAATGTGCTTTGCTAATTTTGATATAGACAATATAGGGTATCTGCATACGTTTGAAATGTGAAATAATGCTGTCTTTAAGATTTTACAGCAAAGCTCGGTTTCTGAGAAGGAATATTAAGCTACTTTTGCGACAGCCCGGAGGGACAAAACCGGTTCCCGTCAAAAATCGCAGCAATGATTTATCATCTTTATCAGATATAAGCAAAAAAGTTGTCGAGAAGAGTGAAATCATTTGATCACTTCAACCAAGGACATTATGTATCTGTATAATGTCCTTGCTTCAACATTGTAATACTTCGGAAGATTGCTCTCTTCTGTATCTGTACCTGTATAGCCGGTATAACCGCCCTTCGGCGTAACACACCAGCTTCACAGGCACGCGGCGCGGCAGCAGCTGGCTACATTACATCGATCGACTTGTTACACCTGACCCTTGAACATCTAACTCTTAACATTGTTTAAAGCTATCTAATGATCTCTTTTTCAAACGTATATTTTCAAATTGATACCTCCCATGAAATCTAGCTAGCTAGCTAGATTATATATGCTCAACGTGTGTTCCTTCTAGGGTTTTGCATTACCACCTGTAGTTTAAATTTGTCATTTCTACATTTTATCCTCGACAAAATCTTTCCATTAAAATTTGCAGAAAAGCTCCTAATATAATTCCATGTCTGTAGAACCCATTTAAATAGGTAAATGAGGTAAAATGAAATTAGAAGGTCATGCTATAGTAAAATGTGGAACTTTATTCCAACAAAAAGTTACACAGAGATCAAATTTTCAACGACCACTGTAACTTTGTGTCGGAATAAAGCTCAACATTTTACTATGATTACTACCAACACAGAGTAACTTTTAAATTCATAATAAGAGGGTGCTGTTGTTATCATAGCCTACTTGCAGTCGACTAGAGGCTAGAGTAAGCTTGCATGCTAATAGTATTACAAATCTAGGACCATGGCGCTATTCACAATGTATTTTTACAGCCATCTGAAATGATACTTCGCACAACAGTCACCCGCACCAAAATGAAAGAAAAAAAAAGATCTCTTACCACTTTGTGCGAAGACGAGGACATGTTTACCTCACATATGGAAGGCGTTCATCTAGTATGACTCCCAAACTGTCTGCCTTTTATAGATAACCTGTTACCCGACATACCACGTTTTAGGTAAGTGAGACACGGGGAGGATCAGTTATGCTAAGGGGAAGTTAGGATTAAGAACTCCAGATCGTAATGAAATATACAGATAGATCAACTAGATAACAAAACGATTCCCCCCTACATAATGTGGCACGTGAGTGTATAGAACTGACCGTTGACTGTAACTACTTGTTTGTAACATATGTACAAAGATTTTCCCCCACAAAATCCGAGGCATGTCACGTGGGGACAGGTAGATGTGCATGTGAACAGCACATGGGAGACTTTCTTCCACCTGATTTCCGAGAAATAGTCTTGTCACTCGACGAGAGTCTTACCATAGCCTTAAGACATCTTGCTCATCTTCTTTGTGACTAAACAAAGGGCACTTTGAAAGCATTTAATTATCTGACTCTCAATTAAAAGATAGTCACACACACGGAGAGACACAGAAAGATCGTGGTTTCACAGAGATTTGTTTTGTCATAACATACGTATATACCTCAGCGAAAGTGCTTCAGAATATCTATAGCCTACCGTGGACATTGTCTGGAACAGTCCACCACCAGACACACGCATAACCCGGGCCCCAACGCTGGCAAGTGTCTTTTAAACTAACAGAAATGATAAATGGACAAAACGAACTGACACAAACCATATACCAGGTCTCAAGTATGTATTTTGTACCATGTGTGTAAAATATCTGTATGTATTAATATAACTGATGTAAACTGTACATGTGTCTTTGTCTGACCCTTACCTCTTCCCTCATGACCTCAATGAAAAGCGACCTGCAGGTGATTTGAGCTTCTCAATGATAAACATTATGTTTCAAACAATGATTGACCGACCTTTGCTGGACGTCACTGTCACCAGTGTAGCCATCATCACCAGGAGAACCAGGCTCGCCATGTCCAGTAGAATCTTTGTCTTGGCTCATCTCATGGTAGGAGCATCTTCAGTGGTGTCATCATCACCTTTATTGCAAGATGAGTCTGAAATGCCAAGTTACAGACTTTAAAAGATCACTACGATGTAGTCCAGACAGCACAATTATTTTCTGGCAAAGTAGGTGCCAATGTAGACGTAATCTAGCCTTCCCCCACACTATCTTTTTTTTTTTATATTCCAACATTTCTTTCATGACTAGACATGATGACGGCACACTCAAGTTATATCAACTTATTTTATACCACCGCCAACGCAGAGGACAAATACAGGATGGGACAATACTTTTCACTTGAGTTAAGTGAGAAAAGTTGTGTAAATTGCCTTTCCCAAGGGCACAAGATCGGTGGCATGTCAGGACTCGAACCAGGGACCTCTTGGTTCCGAGTCGAGCACTAGCTCTGCCGTTCCGCCATGCCACACGACCCCACGTACACTATCTGTGCACTGCCAACCATGCATGATACTACACGAGGGCCAATGGAACATAAACAAGTCATGGAAGTAGATATTTCATTTCTCTTCAAATTGATTTTCCGAAACCATTCATCGTCTGACCATTTTTCCGGATAATCCGGATTGACAGCAGAGTTGTGCCGGATTGTGAGGGATGACTCCCGGGGGTGGGCTGTCCTGACTAATTAGCGTCTCTTAATCAACTCTCACGGATCACATGCGAGCTTGGTCTGTATAATAACGAACGTGTCACATAGGATTAGAGCTCGAGATGATATTTATCTATGTTTAGGGAAATATGTTCCTTTGTCACAATGCAATGTACGAGTAGATAACACTGGCGAGATGTTCCTACGTTCATGTCAACATGATGTAAAATGTCAGAATCAAAAGTCACTCAGCAAATGATGATATGCAAATATAACATTCATCACATCAAACATGATACAGCGTCTTCCAAATGAGCGTATTTGATATAATTTCCCTTTGGAAACATATTTAGTGATCAAAATCAATCAATATCTCTACATTTGGACTATTTGGACTTGTTTTCAAAATACAGTGCCCAGTGGTGTCGTGCACCTTTAAATCTAGCTAAGGCCAAAGGTTCATATATCAACATAAATCATATCATAGCTTTTGTCTTCATAGTACTACGGAATGTCACAGCATTCTGGCATTCTAATGATATCATTGAACCCGTATATAGATATGAATGATATTCTTTGTTATCATATCCTTATATCCTTATTATAGCCTTATTTTATTCCTTTATTCATTCATATATCAAACTGAATTCATAGGAAACTCATCGCCACTGATACAAAAAATATACAAACTGTTAATATTGAACAATAGACAGAAATAGTAAATCATAAACATACACACGAGCACCTTAACGACAACAATACATATCGTCTTCAAAGTGCGTACTTCCTGTCTTAAGTATTTTCAAGAACATAAACTATATTTATCACCGGGTATTCCACCTATGTTATCTACTGCATTTAGTTTTCCAATTTCTCACAGAAAAATGGAGCATAACGATTTCCGAAGATGACAATTAACCAAAAGATCAATCAGCCTTGCTGTTTAACACAACCCTCGGAACACACATGTTAGAACGAAAGGAGAAACACACTGTATACACATAGTACAAACACTGGTACATGTACAGGGATGATTCCTCAATTCTACAGCCTTGTGTGTGTGAAGTGGTAAAGAAACATTTATCACATTTTCGCTATTAGATCACATATACCATGATACAAACATATCTAACGGACAGGCTTAAATTAGGTGGAAATAGTTTTAGAAAGGTATAGAAATTGGGGTGTTACAAATCACAGTGTATAGTCTCTCACCTGTATTTGGTCCTTGTCTTGGCAGCTTGTGTAGGCACGGTAAATTGTTATGATATGATGAGTGTATTTCTCGGATTGTTTAGTTAGTACTAAGCCGCACGTGAAGAGGCACGCAACGGTTTAACACCAACCATTCGTGACGCGTGTCTGACACGCGATCTCACGATTGCTCCATCGACATGTGACAGTTTGGTTTTTGAAATGATCTGTGCAAACATTTCATTCAAGAATGATATGCCCTAGAGAATAATGAAATGTGATAGAAGCAGTTACAAAATAATTTTCTTTCTTTTCTCTCTCCCTATCTTTATATATATATATACAAACACACTCTTTCTCTCTTGCACTCTCTCACACATTATCTCCTCAACGTGCAGTATTTCTTTCCAATTCTATTTTAGTTTTGATTCAACGAAGTCAATGTGCTTATGTTGTTCTATTTTATTTTGTTTGGTTCGTAGCCGGGTATCATACTTTCTCGTGACAATAGGTGCTGATAGAAATGAGATGAGCCTGGTTGTAAAGGTGACATCTAGCGGTTAAGCCTTTACGACAAGTGATGGCACTAATTACAGAAGTAACCTTTTTTTTTAACGGCATCGCTCAATGCAAGGCCAATTATATTTGGCCACTTCTAGGCATAGAGCTAGAGGTAGGAGATGGCGGTGGACCTTATTGTTATCGGACGGAAAGCAGCTGTTTGGAAGAGAGTTCCATAATTTTGCAGTCCGGGGAAAGAAGCTGTTGTTGTAATATGACTTGGAGACAGGTATGTTAACGGTGTATTGATGAGAACTGGAAGAGAACCTGTGTAGCAGAGACACTTTGCGGCTTTGTTCTGAACGACAGGTCCTAGAATAGAGTCCAGAATCTCAGCATTCAAAAGACTCGCTCCCAGGTTGAATCAGTGGCAGAAATAGGTCAAACTGTGTGAATGATGAAGTGCCAGGGGAGTCAGTTATCATGATAAGATCTGGAGCGACAACATTTAGTTTCCCCACTTCCGTTTGTTTTAACTCTTCTGATTGAGATCATCTTTCATACACTTAAGCACTGAAGAAAAATTCATATTCCCAATGCAACAAGACAAACCTTCCATCGAAAAACATACATGTTCTTTCATCTCTACTGTACCTGAAGAGTGAGAATTTGATATTATTTAGTAATTGTTAGTTTTAGCTTTTATTTCTAAACTCAACTGTATCTGTTCATCATGTTTCGTTGTGACCTGTACTTAGCCCAGTGTGGCAAAATCATCATTCATTTCGTTACGCAATTTGAGGATATCCTAATGTTATTATCACACGTAAAAAAGTCAAATTCTTCCGTATCTGCATCCAAGGCAATTTCAACCGTCTCTACACCACACGACGCCCATTCCCAGTTCTATAGAACCCACAAATATGAAGTGGATATGACAACCAGTCAATGGTTTGAAAATACAATCCGGTTTGTCCACTTTTCTAGGGACGCTACACCGTCCCTCTTATTAGTGCACCTACGGAGGTGTCAAAATTAGGTGTTTCACAGCGTTTACCACTACATTTTACGAACAAAGAGAAAATAACAAACTTTTGCTTGTGTATGAAGTTGTTACAAACAAGACCAATTGTGGTTATCACATTAAGGACTCTCTGGTTGGACTGGACAGCCCATGAGAGGTCTACCTCTACGTACAGTAGCCACATTATACATTCATGACCCCCGCAGCAGCGTACACAAACGCCCGACCTCGCCAGGAGCGATCTAACCACTTTTTGCTCCCAGCGTCGCTGTGTTTGAATGGTGCCACCATGATAGCGTCTACCATGAGGGTTTCTGTGGTGGTTCTCATTCTTACTATTGCTTATTTTCACACGGCACTGTCTGTTCAAGTCACCGTCGGTAAGTAACTCAAATGTTAATTGCATATCAATCAATAGTTCGTGCTGTAAACCTGCCATTCTCCTGCAGTCTCTTAGCGTCACAGACGAAAGGTATTGGATGCTTCCTGAAACGTCTGACCGTTTCCAAAATCATATCCAGTTGCTTGAGTAACTGTTTTGTTTTTTTTGGCGTAACTCAAATGTTTTCTTAAGACTGAAAACTTATAAGAATTAACAGGGCTAAGTAAGGTCACCAAATTACACGATCCATTTAAGGTCATTACATAAGAACAGACAGACGATACATGTGAAGGTTAGGTCATAACGACTTGGTTGCATCAGGAACCAAAATCCGAGAAGACATAAAGTTGACGATACTATTGAAAGAATTTGCATACGTGGAAATATTCACAGTTTATGTGCGCTTCGAAAAATCACTCAGAAGACACCTGTATGTTGACTTATGCTATTAACAAGGCTTATAGTTCGATGTAAACATGTCTGAATTCTCTACATTTTTGTGAGCCTTCTGTAGACGAGCATTCTACAATCGGCTCTCAGCGCATATAGAAAATATTCGAGTACCGGCTGGGTTTGCATCGTTCACTGGTGGGTTTGTACAGGAGTCACCGTGTTGAAATTTCATTTTATCACAAGCAATTAACGTTAAGAAACGTTGGGTGGTGAGTCAAATCTCACTACCTATAAGACTTGTAGAGACTCAATGCAGTTAGTTTACTTGTATTTGTTAAAACCGTATAATATATCCGCATATGAGTGATAGATTCGTAATTGACTCAACGAAAAGTGAGTCTTTGTATGGTCTTCTACTACTAAAGATCGAACTAAGCTATATACATGTATGTCATCCTACGTACAGAATATATGTATGCGGTAAATAACGTACAGAATATATGTCAGCGACAACAATAAAGGTTTAACTATTGTCTTAAAGCGTAGTCTCTAAGATTTATACATAAACAACTACCGGGACAACAACATTCTGTTTTGACATTTTACATGGTTCAATGCCCTTGATTTAAGGTCAGATTGCAGGTGTGCCACAACAAGTGCCCCATGCTGGGGGAGTGTACGGTCATCCATTTGTTCGGAATGACAATTACAGTCTTTGTGTGAATCTAAGCTCTTTATTGTACTGTCTTGTGAGAGGGACATAACAGGGTGAATGGGAGAAGTATAGATCATTTGTTCGAAACTAAAAAATTACAGTCTTGGTGTGAATGTACGATCTTTATAGTACGTACAGTTTGACCCAAGGGACCCATAAAATGCCTCTGTAACAGCAAAATGACCCGTTTAATTACAAGATGTGAATGTAAGATCTTCTATTATACGTACAGTTTGACTCAAGGGACCTATAAAATGCTTCGGTAACAGCAAAATGACCCATTTTTTACAAGCAGTATCATACATAGCATTGTAGTACCGATAGGACTGAAATGTACTAATATACAGAATTAGTTTCTTCTAACTTCCTAGAGATAATGCTTATTTGTGAAGTGTGAAGCTTTACCACATTTGTGGAAGGATTGACATAACAGGTGACTATCACCTCTTCAAGATGTCAAAGCTGAGACAAGACTGTTAGGTTTGAACTCTCTTAGGAAAGGATCCCTACTCTTTTCGATAAGTATGGTGGGATCTTTAATGTGCTCGAGGTGTGACATGGGACCTCTGCTTTACGTCTATCCGGGAGCGGGAGGACCCCCCGAAGCTAGGTACTCATTTACACCTGAGTCAAATGAGAAAACTGGTATAAAGCGCCTTTCAACAAGGACAAAGCACTGAGGTCTGTCAGGGATTCGAACCCAGAACCTTCACATTCTGAGTCAGCAGCCCTAACCTCACAGGACGAGTTTTTACTACTCTTATGGCTACACTATTGTTTTCACTTTCTACTACCTACAGCATCCGTCTTCCTGATTTCCTCTCCCTTAAAAACAGATAACAAGGTTACTAACTTAAGCCCTCTTTGCCATAAGTTGACAAGATAACACTAATCTCATTCTGGCATAAGACGCTCGTATCTCTTCACAGAGTTAACTTCATTTAAAGTTATCGCTTCATCTCCAGGTACTGATGCCATTCTGTTGAAAGATGAGCCGTCTTATCTCTTGATCTTTTATGTAATTAGGACAACCACAGATAAGAGGACGCCAAAAGCAGCATTAGGGTCCCTAATGTACTCACTATAGTACCATGGTGACCATGAAAATGGTCCACTGAGAATATGAAAATGAATATTTGATAGGGGGTTTGGTGATAATCGCTTTGTTGTCCCTTATTTTCACTACAGTCAAGTTGTAATGGTCGTAATGATTGTAATGACTCATCTCCCAGAGGACTTTAAGAGGAACGTCCGTGACTTTTTTCTAACTCGGGCAATTTGAAAAATAATTACCGTAACGATTTTTTCCTCGCCCAAATCTGCCCTATATGATTACGAACAGAACCAAAATAAGGATCTGTATTAGTCTATGCACATTTTACATGCATATTTCTGTGAAATATGGATTCCGGAGCAAAATAACTGCATTGTGATATAAATGGCAAAAGATAAGAATTCTCATGAACATTTGCCTTTCGAAATTCTAGGACCAATCTTGTAGCCACGCCAAGCTTCGTCAAATGTTAGACGGATATGCAGCCACTCTCTCATTGGTTGAATGGCTTCTTGCAATTCTCTGATTGGTTTAATGTACAGGTTTTCTTCCCTGCCCAGCTCCGTCAAATATTTGACGGATATGCAGCCACTCTCTCATTGGTCGAATGGCTAATTGCCCTTCTCTGATTGGTTGAATGTACAGGTGTGGTGTACACTGCCGGGAACAGGGAAGCGTACAGCGGCACGGTACGGCAGATCTTACGGCTCGTCAACGCGTCAGACGACTATGGAACCCGTAACGTTACTCTCGACATCGTTGAAAAAGACGCAAACTGCTCCAGCGAAAACGCCATATACAACGGTACAGAAATTCGGCTGCTTTGAATTAGAATTATTTTACTATGACTTCGGTTGGGTAGACATAAAAAGGCGATGGAAGGACGTTCCAAAAAAGCTATGGGATGTTACCAATCATGAAAGTGCCTACTACATGTACCAAGTAGACATATTGCCATGATATATAGCAATGTCGTAGATGGGATTTTTTGAACATGACAAAATGTTAAGATACGTGATTTTCGATCGTCTCTACTGCCTTTGTCAGGATAACTGATCCATTACTTTGGACACGTGACTCTGCATTGGAATCAATGGAGATTGTAACTCAATACCACTGTACATGTATGTGTAACTATGTACATATCGGCCAAACAATGTACAAAGTAAGCCCCAAAAAAACACTGGATATGATTTTCATAACGGTCCAACAGGCCGTTTTCAAAATCATATGCAGTTGCTTGAGTAACTTTTTGGCGTATCTTGTTACCTGGAGGTCTAACCTTCAAAGTATTATGCACTATAGTCTACATGTAAATATGAATTATGAGGAAGAGAATTATTAAGAGAATGTTATATATATATTAGCTCTGTCGTGCTGTGTTGCTGCATCTTGACTCATGCATCTTGACAAAACGAATCTCTCCATTCCTATCTGTGCTTCATCAGTGATCAACTCGTTCCGACAACAGGACATTTGTAACATCGTGGTCATTAACAACGAGCGGAAGTCAGACGAGGGAAGCACGCCTTGTTCTTTCCACAACGAGAACGACACCTCCTTACTGGCACTGTTCGTCTCTCGGCCATCGGTAAATATGATATGATAAATATGATATGATATTTCGTGTGACCAACTGATATGATATCTCGTGTTCTGAACAATCTATGTTTATGAAGCTATGTAATTTTCAGATAAGTCTTCAGTCTCGGAAAGAAATGGTTTGGTTTGGTTTGGTCCCCATAGCAACTTTTTTTTTAACTGCAAGTGCATTTTACTTCAAGACTTTGCGACTTTGAGTGACCTCCGGTGTCACATAGTCTTCTTTAGTGTTGTGTAAGGTCCATAAATCAACCAGTTTGGGATCGTATCTGTACATATTCAAAGCTGATTTCTTGTCAAACATTCATTCATTTAAATACTGAACATTCTGAAACAAATACCTCACTCTTTTCAAGTTTTATGTTATACTGATTTAGGACAAGCAAATCATCTTGAAAACTTGCAGCGCGCAAAGAACTTTGTGAAAATTTAAGACTTTTATTTAAGGTCCTGTTTTTCAGAGGTCCGGTGTTCTGTTGAACTCTGGCCCAGGGGTCATGAACCTTTACCCGGAACCGATCGACCTGAGTAAGATGGTGATCGACACCGTCCAGAAGTACAGGTGGACGTCTGCCTTCGTGCTGTACGATAAATTCGCCGGTACGTAGCCACAGTGTTCTTGCACGACATTTTCAACGTGGTTTTCTTCTTGTAAGCAAGTTAGTCTGGGCTCCATCCGTGAACGCTATACCCGCCAGGCCCTGGGATTGAACGGAAAGAGTATAGCATCTAAAATACGCTAGCCAGCACCAAAGATCCGTCAGTGTGTTGTTGTCAAACTTTGTTGATGTGGAAGAAGCGACGCCTGTTATACGCCTTGGAAAGTGCACCCTCCGGCGCGCACCGAATGCATCAAAATCACCACCCAAGCTATGAGTCACGGATGGAACCCAGGCTACATCTAATCAATGCAAAGAATCAAAATTATATTAACATTACATTAATGGCTCTAGAAATTAATTGTGAACGTTTCTGTACATAGAAATCTGCACATTGGACACAAAAAGAGCCGTGTAAACTACATATAATAATGTAGGAAGATCTTCAGCACCAAGGACAGACCATGCCGTATTCAGAATACTAGTGGCTCTTCTCTGGTTGTGACAAAACGTTCCTACAATTTTCTGCAACAAAACAAAAGCTGAGAAAAATGGAAAATAAAGCTGTAGGCATTTTCATTTGCTTGAAAACCATATTTTCAATGTAAATATTCTAGTCATTTCTATATACAAATGTACAAGGTAGTAGGTTTAGGATCCTGGGCTGATTTTTGAGGTATCACCCACATAGTAAGGACTCATCTTGCAAGAATGATTTGGGCCAGACCCGTTGTATTTTTAGGAGGCTCCTAAAAAGAATGTAAACAAACAGCGGTTTTTGTTTGGGTATCTTCGGCAGCTTCAACATGTTTTTATGGCGACAACAACATTGATCTTTTACTCCCTAAATGTCTTTAGGAACCCAGGTAGGCTACCAGTGTATAAAAGACAGCAATGTTCAAAATGCAGTAGTGAAAAATCTTACATAACATTGCTTTCAATACCCAAGGCCTAAGAAAAAAATGTTGTGTTTCCTGTTTCAGTCCTGAAAAAATTAGGGTCGGTAGGTAGGGATTATCTTTTTGTTTATTAAACTTTGGCAATCTCCAGTGATCCAACTTATACAATACACTTTAACAGAGTTGTTGTTGTTCGTCCGTCATTCTTGACGATGACCAGTGACATCAACTTGCATGAAGACACTCTTATATTTTCAATGTCAATGTTGGAAACCTGATTGTACAACGTTTCATCACTCAGGTTTCAGATCATGGAGAAAAATTCATGTCCCTTGCAGGGGTACACCCCGCAAAAAATGCTAGGGTCATCAGTTTTTTCTAGGGTCTGTCAGGAAACACAATTTTTTTCCTAGGCCCAATCATGCAAACATACTTGCTCCCATCCCAGACTCCTACAGGACCCTGGAGCAGTTCCTGAACTGGGCAGCAGACAGGGACTGGCTCCTCAGGGTGAAGGAGATCCCCCTCCTGTCCAGGTCAGAGGTTGACCGGCGCGAGCTGCGGTCACTTCTCCTGCAGATCAGGATGTCACGAGAGGTCCACGTCATCCTCATGACAAACTCTGACATCATCGTCACTGTTCTAGAAAAGGTGGGTGTTTTGTGCTATTTCTTCACTCCAAGGGAGCCAAGTATTGCTTTTGGCTTGTCTGTCTATGTATGTCTGTGTGGATGTTAGTCTGCAATTGATGATGCAATTTCAATACAATAAAGCGTAGCCTCAGTGCTGCAATGATTTGGACTATGGGACTGGCAGAATCACAAAGCAGAACTGTTGTTGATGATAAATCAAATCAAATCAACTAGTGATAATGTATTATGTATTGAGAAAACCATCTGAACAGTCTGTGTGAAAATCATGTTTAACTTATGACTTGCTCTCACTCTGATTTCTCACTGATGATTTCTTGTTAATGTTATATCTTTAGGCAGTTCACATGCAGATGCTGAATTACCAGTACCAGTGGGTGATAACAAGTTTGGTAAGTTCAAAAATTTCTATCTGTTATGTCCAATACTCTTTGTTACTTATTGCAGTAGCTAAAACATAAAGAACTTCAGAAGATCTGGAAAAACATTTCTATATTTTCTGCACAGAACGGTCCACTGGGTACAGTTCCTCTGGAGGACTATGAGTTCAGTGGAGCGCGGATGACGTTCTTCCACCCTAACTTTGAACTAGGAGACGATGTAAGACACAATCACACAGTTACTAAATACCTGAAGCTTTGCAGCAGCACACAGTCAGCTAATGTCTTTGTCTCTATCTGTATCTGTATTGGTATAGCCGGTATAACCGCCTTTTGGCATAACACATCATCTTCGCAGGCACGCGCTGCGTCAGCAGCTAGCTATATCTGTCTTTGCACATTTAATTGCAGGAGTTGTTTTAAGCTTTCTGGTGATGATGCCCCAACTGTGCTTGTTGGTGGCAACAAGTTGGTGGCACTCTATAATAGTTCTTTGAAAATACAAGTTTTTGAACACCTCAATTCTTGGTTGTTATTTGAAGGCATTTTGTAACTAAAGCAACTATTTTTTCAAAGTAGGTATAGTATAGTAGTTTTAGTTTCAAAGGTTTCTACATTACTTGGCAATGTATGTGTGTTTTTCTCTTTTTTTTCAACCGTAGACCCGTTTGTTTGAGAGGTTTGTGATCGATGCTATGCTGACTGTGGTGAACACTGCTGCTGACATGGTGGAGGACACAGGTGGGGAGGACCAGTGTCTGCTGCACACCTACGCCACTAAGGTACGTTTGTTTGTTTGTTTCTTTTATTAGAATCTCCATTAGTTTTACATTGCACACTATTCTTCCTTGAGTCTGCAAGGATGATGATGTAAAATACTGTGTAAAAATTAATATATTATACAAGACGGGGGAGTGCCAGGCCTCCATTTCAGTGATTTGAAGTGAATCACCTACTTCCAGACAGTTTTTGGAATATGCAAAAGGAACCTAATAGTATATATAAACAGCTCATCCCACCTCCACCCCCTAAAAACATGTTACTTTTATTGTTGTCAGATATGTCCAGAGATCTATTCATGATTAAAAGAACAATCCACACTTTCAGGTGGAGTTTGAGGGATACAGTGGTACGGTGGCATTTGATAAAGATGGCATCAGAGACAACCTGCAAATGGACCTGTTGGAGAACAAGGGCAGAGAACTAAGGAAGGTGAGATTGAACAATGATAACGGGACAGGGCAGGGTTGTCGGCGGGTTTCTTGAAAATATTTAGTCACTGTTTGCCCATTGTTGTTTGCAAATGTCATGAACATTTCAGTTTCATTATTATCGGGAGGATGATTCAGAAAGCTCTACACAATCACACACAAACACACATACAAATATAATTCAAGATACCTTAAAAAGTTTGTAGAAGGAAAAAATATTGTTTTTGCTCTGTTTCTTCTTCTTGCTCTTCTTCTTCTCCAAACGAATAAGGCCAATGACCATCATGGTAAATAATGAGTTAAATAATGTTGCAAGTGCCATGCAGAGTTCAAGAGGGGCTGCATGGTCACGATATATGAAAGTGTGTTTTAGTATTAGAGAATACATCAAGCGGTAGTTTGTTAAGCTGGGCCATGTGGAGGTTAATATGATGAATTTGCTTTGTAGATGTTACCTTTCTAGTTATTCCTGCTTTAATTATCTATCTCCTGTTCTGTCGATCTGTACACAGGTGGGAACATGGAGCTCCGTACATGGCACCAACCTAACCTCAACCTTCAACACCAGCTTCCTCACAAACCCTGTCCTGGGCGGCAAGAAGCTCAAGATCATCACCAAAGAGGTCAGATTTACAGAACAAGACAAGAGGCACCAGTATTGAAATAAAAACCAGTAATTTGCAATTTCTGTGCAGCTAAATGGTGAAAGACTATTGCCGTAAGTTATATAATGTCGCACTGCCTACAGGCTACTATACAAAGAGTCAATTGGCAATTTCAGAGATGACAAGCATATAGGGCTATTAAACTTTAAGATCTAGGACACTCTGAAATTTTGCTATTTTGCCTAGCAAACTGCAAAAATGAAAAGAGTAAATTGTTTAGTACACTGTTCTCAAAACTACATGTAATGCCATAGATTATGATAATGATTAGTACATATTTGTTCATGAGTTTCCTCTGAAACAACTGAAATTTCAGACACCCTGATGCCCAAGTATTTTCACCCTTCACATATCACACATTTTCACATATTAGTTACCTGTAGCAAGCTCCGAGACAATGTTTGGAATCTTTATTTAATATACAACATGGCAAACCTGAAAGAACCAAAGTTGAATCTTTTTTCCAGAGACATCCTTATGTCCAACTGAAGAAGAATGCCGATGCGTTTGAGTTGGAGGGAGAGGAGCGATACGAGGGTTATCTGATGGATCTGATCCGTAAGATGGCACTGCACCTGAACTTCACCTACAGTCTGGACATTCTGGAGGATGCACACGTGGGGGAGAAACAGCCTGACGGGTCCTGGGATGGCATGATTGGAGAACTGTTCAACTACAGGGTTAGAGTGCTGTTGGTCTTTGAGTCAGAATCTAGAGGTCTTGGGTTCAAATCCCACCTCATTATTCTACAAACTAGTACACTTCAACATATCCATTCTTTACAATCCATTCAACATATAAAGCCTGAGTTGGAACAACTATAGAAAAACATTGTCAGTCTTGATAAACCAGTTGAAACATGTCCTAATTGTTTCCAATTTTTGCCTAAGGTTGACGTAGTTCTTGATGCGGTGTCAACGCGTTCCTTCCGTCTGGAAGCCGTAGACTTCACCGAGCCGATAGAGATGTCCGGGTACTACCTCATCATGAAGCGCCCCTCCAAGGCCATCCCTGGGATCTTCCAGTTCCTCGCGCCCTTCAGCACGTCTGTGTGGATTGTGATTGGCTGTGCCTGCCTCCTAGTTGCCATCTTGTCCACGGTCATCAGCTACCTGGACCCGTATGAGTGGCACCAGCTGGCTAAACGGGGAGAAGTCAAGCCTGAGGAGGGGGGGAACTGGGACTTCCTCAACAGCATGTGGTCTGCCTGGGGCGCTTTTGTCGGCGGTGGCGCTGAGTTTCTACCGTGTTCGTACGCCGGGCGGGTCCTCTCCAGCACGTGGTGGTTCGTCATCCTGGTCGTCATCTCGTCCTACACCGCCAACCTGGCCGCGTTCCTCACGCAGACCCGCCTGGAGGAGACCGTCAGCTCGCTAGACCAGCTGGCAAACAGCAAGTTCAACTACGGAGCGCTGGCACGGAACACCATCGTACAGTTCCTAGTGACGGCCACCGACGAGCCGTACAAATCCGTCGGAAACCATCTGAAGATGAACAGGGAGGAGGTTCTGCTGGACTCGCGCGATGAGCTGCTGGATAAAGCGGAGAGGGAGAAGTTTGTGTTCATTGCTGATGCTGAGAACGCGTTCACCATCAAGGAAGAGAGATGTGTGCTCATGACAGTAGGGGAGAAGTAAGGAGGATTTGCTATAGATCTTAATGTGTAGCAATGCTTGTAGTGTGGTTGATGGAGAAATTTGTATCGTATTATCTGAGGTGGCAAACACAACAGTTACTATTAGTGGCCGAATCACATTTAATGTCCATATTTTTTAATATGCTTTCAGCACTAGAACTTGATAGGCTTTATCATGTTGAATTGCAGATAATATTTAGTCTTTTTGAAAATCTGCTTGAAAACTTTTTTGTGAGAGGATTGTCTGTCCTTGATTCTGAATGTGTTACATTCTATGCATTGTGCCTGACTACCTATTCTTACCATACACTGTGTCTGTCCTTGGAACTGAACCATGTATCACTACCATACACTGTGTCTGTCCTTGGAACTGAACCATGTATCACTACCATACACTGTGTCTGTCCTTGGTGCTGAACCATGTACCAGTACATGTACCATATGCTGTGTCTGTCCTTGGTACTGAATCGTGTCAGCTCCATTGGATATTATATCAGAAAGGTGTCAGGAAATCATAACATCCAAACTGAATAAATTACCAGTAGATAAAGACATTCTTTGACCAATAGACAGTTCATTAGAGGTCCTGACGATATTTGCAACTTGTTTGCAGGTTTTTCCTGTCACCTCTAGCCCTGATGCTGCCCCGAGGGTCTCCGTATGTTAAAGAGTTCAACCGACTGATCCTGGAGTTCCGTGAAAATGGCTTCATGGACATCCTCCACAACCGTTGGTTCAGGTGGGCAGTACAGATGCTTTAGAACTTCAGATGAACCATGATAATTTGAGGCAATTTTTATGTGAAATTGATATGATATACTAGAAAAAAGGGCTGGAGTTCAATGCATGTGAATACTGCATGTAAATATCATTAATCAGTCTACTAAGTATTAAGTATATAAGTACTAAAAAAGGATAAGAAACTAAACAAGATTACACAGTTAAGTACTCAACAAGAAACTATGTAGTAGGAGATGAGACGTTATACTTAAACAGTGGAATTTTAGACACATAGACAGTTCTTCTTCTTCCAATAATGCCTATCTGCCAAGAAATCAGCAACTACTGGCATGTTGGGGGAAAGTTGTGTAAAGTGCCTTTCCCAAGGGCACAATTTCAAGGCATGTTGTTTGAATCGAACCTAGGAGCCATGGGTTCCGGGCGGAATGCCCTAACATTATGCCACACGATGCCTGTCCTTGGTCCTGAACAGTTTCTTATGTATTGTTCTGTATACACTGCAGGGATTGTCACACATCAGTAAAATGTAGAGAGTAGATTTTGGTCTATTGAGATTACTAAATAAAACAAACTTATGGTATATTATAATTTATACCTTTCAGGGCCTCAGGAAAATGTGACTCTGTCATCTCTAAAAGCGATCAATCCGTTCTGGACTTGGAGAGCTTCGCTGGACTGTTCTACTTCATGTTGATGGGGATCGCGCTGACCATGTTGGTCATGGCCGCCGAGAAGGTGTGGTTCATGCGGCAGGAGAAGGACAAGAAGAAAAGTGACCTGGAACTTGCCGACCGTAACGGCGCCAAGGACGGGGAGCTAGAGGCTCTTCGTGCGTAAAACAACGCCACCTAGTGGAACATTTTGGCAATGCAAGGGAAACTTAACTTAATTATGCTATTTCATAGTAGACAGTATGTGATGTGATTTGTCATTATTACTTCTCTGTGTTCTGTACGTAAGTAGCTGAAGGTGGTTGGAAGTGATTCTTATGGAGTAGAGTTGGATTGTGACATAAGCAATAACAGAAAGCATTATATACTGTGTAAGTGGAAACATCATGGCAGCATCGTACCTTTCTGTTCTGTCTTCATTTGTTGTGAAACAAAACATGATAATGATTACATCATGGACAATCAGTTGAATCTGATTATATATCTACTACAACATTTTGCATGTATGGCAATGACAAGCTAACTCTTTTGGCAGCAATGGATTTCAGGGAAAACTAAAATTGTACCTTTTACAATAGCATAGATATTGTTGTTTGATTACAGTTTATACCAATGTTTTTTTTTATTATTGTATGATTTGATATGACTATACTCAAGATAACTTGTATAACATTCATACAATTTGTATAGTCATGCAGGTGTAAATATACTGTATATGGTAACACCTTTTGCTGATTTGTGGAAGTGAAATGAAGCAGGAACACAGAATTTCAAAAATAACTTAGCGGTAACTCTTGAATCAGTTGTTTTTGCTGTAAGGCCATAACAAGTAAATTCTATGGATGACACCCTCAGCAGACTCCAAATCTAATGCAATAGGGAAAAAAACAAGGTGGGCTAAAAAAAACAAGATTCCTACATTTTCAATTGTTTTCCCATTCCAATTCTTTATTTACATACCAACATTACAGACATACAATATAGAATTATAAGTTTGCCTGAATGGCATTGGTATTGGTATAAAACTTGTTAAGCAAGAAATGATACCTGATATTGTAGTAGCCCGGCTTGGCAGGCACCCATGTTTTTCCGTAACCCTTGTTGTTCATACATTTTCTGAGGATTAAAATCCTCAGAAAATGTATGTGACTTGATGAAATAAAGATCTTGTTGATATACAGGCTTCAATGTACTATATACTAAAATGTATCAATCCCTCGCTTTTCTATGGGGATACTGCTGAGTCAAACAAAGCGTCTAGTACAGTACTAAGTATTGAGGCCACAACTGCAATACTTAATACATGGAACTGATGGTGAGTTCAGCACCAAGGAGAGATCCGCACTGGTAATGTCCATTAACAAATGGGGGGGGGGGGCATCCACGAGTTTGGGGATATAAACACTTGCTGTGGCACGAGGTATCTTCTTCATTGGGTTTGGCACAGAAAATAAGTTCAAATTTGGGCAACGAGAATAATTACATTTGATTGGTGGCGGAATGGTGATGGTTAGTTATCAAGAGCAATAATGGGTAATCTCGTTTGCACCCCTATGCAATTAGCACACATGGTACGGTCCGTTCAGCACAGCTGTGTGCAGCACGTTGTCATGTGGCGTGTCGTGCGTGAATTCTCTCCAACTTTGGGGGTAAATTTTCGGCTTTTTGCCCACAAATTATACGTCTAAAGTGTACAGTATATCGTCTGGACGTTTCTAGGTCGGATGTGTGCCATTCTTTCGACCTTTGAGGGAGAAAATTCGTAATTTCCAGACGGAGTTTGGAGACTGGGAAAATGAAAATGGCGACTACCATGGCGGCGTGGCGTGGTGCTGAAAAAGACAAGTTCTTGCGAGGTAAGACAGCAAATTAGCTCCTTGAATGTACATGTTTGTACTTCCAAGAAACCTGTAGCAACAGACCACGTTATAATTCGTCATGTTAACCGTTGTATTCCGTAGAAATTTGCGTTTTGTGGAACGATATGTCGCACACATTTTGTACCGCCATTTTGTACTTGAGTAGGCTATTTTCGTGACTGTCGTGGTTTTGGGGAACACTGAATATATTTCTTTGGTGTTGAGTAGAATGGGAAAAATTTCGCTGCTAAAACTGTTACAAACACGTTTTTTTTGTTGGAAATTTCCACAGTTTGGCCCAGTGAACACATTTTGGAACGCACCACACGTGTGCATAATTAAACCCACTCGACGTTCCCGCCAAAAACGTCGCGTGAACAAGACTTCCGAAGCCTATTTAAAGATTAAATGGATGCATTTACTATTTCAGTACCCTTCTGAGCATCCAAAAGTAAATCTGTGCACAAGTGAAAATGCATGTAGTTTATTTCGGTTTTGTTGCTGGTTTATTCTTGCTTTTGAATCGGAGGTTGTCATATAATTGGTATTTTACTGGATTCTATACTTCATTGCCAAATTATAATCTGTTTTTGATGTAACGTTATAATTGAATGAAGCAGTTATTGTGGTTGCACTGATTTTGAGGATGAACTATGCAATCTTGGTCCTTATTGTATCATTTATTCGAGTAGAGTACATGTCTACAGCCAGGTAGGAGCTTCAGTTCCAGTTTCGGCCGCTTTTTCCTTTTACTGCACAGACATCTCAGGTTTCTGGGAGTGGTCTAGACCCCTAGTCATACATCAGCTTCTTCTGTTCCATGTGTTTGTCGAGACTTTCCTTGAACGAATTTACACTGGGTGATGTAACTACAGACTCTGGGAGGTTGTTCCACCAGGCTACCAGTCTGTTGACGAAGAAGTAAAGCCCTCCTGTTGCCCTTTGATGGCTTCCTCACTATTCTTAGACTGTGACCCCTGGCCTGGTTCTTGTATCCGATTTCAGGTATCCTGGCAGACTCGCCAGGGATGTCACCGAAACTGTCACGGTTGTTGTAGAAAAAGAAAGGTGTTTTGCTGTGCCAAATATTTGCAGGAATGCGCGTGTCGAAAGTCAGACTCGGAGCCTTTGCGCAGAGCTCCAGTCAGGATGAGTGTTGAGCTGCGAGTGACGTAGACTGGAGCCAGTCACGTGAGCAGAATTCGGCGGGATAATGCCGGCGGCCTCATCCCAGCATTGTGACCCCTGGTTCTTGTATCCGATTTCAGCTCGAAAGGCGAGTCTTGTGTCGAATTTTCCACGTATGAATTTGTAGGTGTTAATCAGATCCCCTCTGAGTCTTCTATTAGTGTCGGCAGTCCCAGAACTCAGTATAGGGTAAGTCTCTGATCCCAGGCACTCAGTTAGTTGCTCTCTTCTGCACTTTTTCTAGCTCTACCGCCAGGCTACATGTATGATAATGTGGTGACCAGACTGATACCCCGTACTCCAAGTGTGGCCGGACTAGAGATTTGTAGAAAAGCATGAAAACCTTGTCAATGAATTGAAAAGTTCTCCACATAAGACCGGCTATATCTGGTTTGCTTTACTTGTTATAGTAAGTCACTAAGTACATGTATGTGTCTGTTGAAGTTCAGGTCATCATCAACGATGATTCCCAGGTCCTTTTCTTGTTGAGTGTATCCACTGGGAGGCCTTTATCTAACCACTCACGATCAGTCCATTTGTCCATGCATGCAAGCATTTGTGTAGTTGTGGACCTTCCTGGGAGAAAGCCATGTTGGTGTGGTGTAAAGAGACCATTCTTGTTCATGTGTTTGACTATAGCATCCCTGATTACTCCTTCAAGGACCTGTGATGTGAGACTGACAGGTCGATAGTTCCCTGGAGTCTTCTTGCAGCCTTTTTGTAAATTGGCGTGACATCGGCAGACTTCCATTCATCGGGGAGTTTGCCTTCATTTAAAGACTTTAACTTTTACTGTTAATTTATTTGCCAATGTTGCCCGCCAATTCCTTTAGTACCCTTGGATGGATTTTATCGGGACCCATTGCCTTATTTGGATTCAGACTTCCCAATCTCCGGCCAACTTCCTCTGTGCTAAAAGTTACATCATTCAGATCTTTGCAGTACTGTCGTTTGACTGGGTCTGGTATGTGTGTTAGATCTTCCTTCGTAAAAGTGCTCACAAAGAATCTGTTCAAGACTCCTGCTTTTTCCATGTCTGAGAGCCACTACAACTCCGTTATTCAGTTCTCAACTTCTGGTTATACCTTGGCAGGTCTTAGTTTGTTTTTGTTTTTTTTACATTCCTCGCTTTCCCCTTTTCATATTTTTTCAGTGCCTTTCTTGAAGCCCATCCTGCCTGGTTCCGGGCTCTGATGTATTTGACAGTCATCTTCTTTCCTAGACTCACAAAATTTTTTCCAGTATTTCTGTTTGTTGTTTTTTTTTTTTTTTTTCAACCTTTATTTAACCTTGAAATGTACAGTACATGTTGGTATCAGTACAACTCTTCGGCCTAAGCCGTTTTTCAAGAGGTCAAGGGGAGGTAGGTCAGGGTCTTTGCAAAATTCTTCAGTTCTGTTACAATCAATAGTAGAAATACAATATAAATATATACAAAGTGTACAAAATTCAAACACTATCTCGGTATCTCAGTATCAAACATCCAAGTTCACATATTTAGTCGTTCTAAGTTGCTTGACGCAGCCGGTTTTTAAACGCTGCAACTGACGTAGCCGTTCTTAACTCAGTTGATAAGTTATTCCACAGTACTGATCCTGAGTAGGAAATCGATCTTCTGTATACTTCACGACGAACCCTTGGCACATACAAAAGGTCAGATACACTTTGCCGCGTGGTTCTTACTGCCCTATCACTACAGTATGTAAACAGTTCTCTCATGTAGGCTGGCAAACAGTTGTTGAGACTCTTGAAAGTTAGCAGGGATTTCTGGTCTCTGTGTATGGACTTGATGTCCTTCCAGCCCAGTCGAGTCCGTACTTCAGCCGACGGCGTTCTGTGCGGGGCTCCCAGCAACAGCCTCCCAGCCCTGTTCTGCATCCGTTGAAGTTTCTGTAGATCTTGCTCTGGTGCAGTGTCCCAAACAGTACTAGTGTACGTTATGTATGGTAGAAAAATACTGTTGTACAAAGTACGTAGTGCTGATGTGGATATGAAGGGGCTGACGTGCTTCATGATACTTAGGGATCGTCTCAGCTTACCCAGTACGTGTTTAACATGCCCTTTCCAGTTCAGATTATTGTCAATGTATATGCCTAAGTACTTATACATACATGTATTACACATGGTTACAGGTTGAGCATTAATAACCAAGCTGGGGTTGTTACTGTTTTTCAGTCTTTTGTCTGTACCCAGCAACATGCACTTACATTTACCTCCATTCACAGACAGAGAGTTCACAGCAAACCATTGAGACAGCCTTTCGAGATCTTCCTGTAGGACAGTCTCAATGGTCTCAACATCCTTGCTGCTGACATAAATGACCGTGTCATCGGCATACATTGTTCATTTTAGTGTTGAGTGACTTATCTCTTCAGGAACATTTTCTCTTTTTCTTGGAGGCATTTACTTTCGGTACATTTCGTCCACACTTTCAGTGATTTTGTTCGAGAAAATGTCCCAACTTTCTTCAATACTCAGATCTCCCAGAATATCTTGCCAATCCATTTATTAGTTCTTATTTCATTTTTTTGTAGTTACCTTTGTTATATTGTAAAGACTATGTTTTCTTAAGACTTGTTTCCACATAGCAGTTAAAGTCACATGATCACTCTTCCCGATAGGTGGTCTTAAATAGACAGATCACTGATCATTTCATCTTCGTTTGTGAGGATTAAGTCCAGCAAGTTACTTTCTTGTTTCCTTGTCTTTCTTGAAAGCTTGTTTCCTTGTTGCCTTTTCTACGTGCTGATACTAGAGATATGCATCTCTGGTGGCTTCAAGAAACTTAATGCCTCACAGTTGATTGAGTTAGTAGTTCCCACATTCTCTTTCCACTTAATATTTGAGTGGTTGAAGTCCCCAACCATCAAAACATGTGAGTCAATCCTAGGGTGATTGACTCTCAAATCAAACTGTTCATTTTTGT